TTGCATATACAGGACGACGAAGAATTATGATTCGTTGCTGCGACTGTTGTTGCTGCGTTATATGGAGTTGCTGTGCCTCAAGCCCAGAGGACCAGGTATGGTTGTCTGAGGCTGGTGATGTAGCAGCCTGAGTTGGGTTGGCCAAAGCAGCCTGCTTGCTACCGAAAGAAAAAGTGACTGGTTTATTGCGGTTGTCCTTCGATGCTTCCTCATCATAGTTTCCATCGCCTTCATCTTGTTCCTCTTCCTCTCCACCGTCTGGTATTTGGTCTTCGGTCAAGCCAGGCTTGGTTGAGTTGCTATAGCTCGTGTGAGCCTGTGATAACCTAAGCGCTAGGCTACCTGGTTGAAAGATTGCCAGACGTCCAGGTGGCTTGTAAACTCCCGCAGTAGGCGCTGTAGCAGTATTCAATGATAAAGTAGACTGGCGACGAGCCTCTGCTAAAGTCTGACGTTCGTGAACTCGAGCCAATTTGGCAGCTTCTCGAGCCATCTTCTGCTCGCGCAGCTTTTCCTCACGTTCCTTGCGTCGCTCTTCGCGTTCTTTTTCCAGTCGCTCTGAATTTTAAAATAAAGACGATAAAGTAACTAAGACATAACTAAAATAATAGAAGAGACAGTGAAGAGTTGGTTGTAAAAGGTTTTGTCAATATTTTTTGGTTTAAACAATATCAGTAATTAAATATTGGGAGCGTTATTATTGAAATAAATCAACCTGTAATTTTCGTTAAAATTGGTCCTCTAAGACGATATAGAGTGCAGTACGAGAACATTGGAAAATAGTTGTCACTTCATAAGTTGTATATAAAAAGAGTAGGAGCATAGATAAACAGTATGCAGAGTAGTGAAAAGATTAAAATAATTGGCTTTATTTAAAATCCAGATCGAGGAATACTTTAAAATAATGACAATTATTAGAGAAAATCTGCATATGGACAAAGAAGATACAAAAATAGCATTCATTTTACAGCATAGGCCATAAAAGTCACAAAAATAACAAAAGCAATTGGCTTCCTACATTAAAATATACAGAAGTTCAAAGGATTTTG